GGAATATTTGTAAGGAAATTGGGGGCTAGAAGTAATTTTCCCTTTTATTAAGTATCTTTATAGTAATATTTAATATGGTTAGTTAGGACTAAGAGCTAAGATTGATTTAAAGTAAAATTAGTTTAATTAAAATTAGGATTAATGGTTAACGTTAGTTTGTTTAAGATTCTACACTTAAGGTGATGTTTTTTTGGGTTAGGATAATAAATATTAGTATTAGGATTATTTTCGATAGTTAGTTCATAGAGTTAGGATTAGAGTTATATATATTTAAATTAATTAATAGATTTAGGATTAAGATCAAATTTGACTAAAAGTCAGTTGAATTAGGAGGGTCATTGACATCGGTAATGAATTTAAGGTAATAATTAAGAGTACTAATTGATTAGATTTGTTCAATTAGGGTTATTAAATTAGGAATAGGCTAACTAAAGTTTAATTAGTACTATTATATATGAGATCAGGGTAAGAAAAAGGATAAATTTAGTTTAAATAGGGTTCTATACATACACTAACGTGATTAGGATTACTATTAGGATCGTATTAGGTTGATTAATTTAATTGAGTTATTAAAGTTAGGATTAACGTAGATTATTGAGTTATTAAAGTTAATATTAAAGTTATTAAAGTTAAATTAATTAATAAAAGATAGAAAAAATGCTAACTTTTTGGTTAAAGTTAGTTGAATTTGGGGTTATACATACACTTGGGTAAATAAAATTAATTGGTTAGATTTGATGAGATCCAAAGTTTGGGTTAGGGTTACAAAACTTCAAATAAGCTTAATTAGAGGTATATGCTTAAGATAATGCATTTTGGGTTATGATGAGATGATCAATTTGGGTAGATCATTCTAATTATGGTTAGATTATGTTTTTTTAATTTTAAATTTTCGAATATGTGCAAAAACTAGTAAAAGATAATACATTGAGAATATTAGTAATAAAAATTATCAAGAATTGTAATAAAAATTATAAATTAGTAAAAGGTAATACCTTGAGAAGATTGGGGTGACTGATGAACAGCAGCGACGGTGGCAGACGACTAAGCTCACGGCGACGGGCGAGTGGACGCACTGTGCGG